CCTTTAATACATTATTTTATAAGAAATTATGTAGACCATTGGCTCCCTTTTTGATTTAATTCCGTGATATCCGCCATAATGATTGGTCAATGGCGAGAATCATGGATACTTGTCGTATGAGTTGGCAAAGCTTTTCTTCAAGGTCGTTAGAAGAGGGGTCGGTCGTGCCCCCGCTAAACTCGAGGGCAAATCTGATGGTTTTGTTCGAACTTCGATCCTCGATATCGAGCTTAGTTATATCTGTAACTTCGATCTTTTACGTAGGTGTCGTGCCTTGACCTATTATTTTAGATGCTCGATCAAGCGTAGAGTTCGGTTCTACTCGCATACAGGGCTAAAAGTGATAAATCTGTCTCACAATATGTTTTAGTTATCATGCTATTTGCTGTTTAAACTAACGGGTAAATGGTGATTACTTATCGACTTGCTAGGACTTGAGGCTTGGTAAGGAATAAGGTTAATACGATTGTTGATTCATATGTCAGAACTGAAATTTAAGAATAAACATAGTAAAGTTGAAAACAAGTTGAATTAACCAACTAAGAAATCCTCTAGGCCATATCCAACCCTTACATCAGTTTTCTCCTCCAAAATAGAGTAAACTCCAAAATAGAGTAAAGTTACTCCAACCATTACTCTATTTTTTACTCCAAAAAAAATATATTTCATTTTATATTCTTCTCTCTCTTTAATATTATATTATTATCTTTTATTTAAAATTTATTTTCTTATTTCTATTAAAGAACTTCTATCTTTTTTTCTTTTTTACATATTCATCACATATAATTTAATATAAAAATATTTTATACCATAAATTTTTAAATAATATAATTTGTAAGCAAATAAAAGTGAAATCATTGAGATACAAGATAATTAAATACATATTATATTATGGTAAAATTCATATTAAATATTACATAAATATTCAACTTTCACCTCTAGGATGCTCCCATAAATGATCTACCGTTGGAGGTAGACATTCCCAATCATCTTGAGTTGGTGCATTAAGATCACGTTCATCCTCTATTATCATGTTGTGTAGTATAATACATGTAGTTATTATATCATGTAACACTTCTTTTCTCCAAAAACGTGATGGTCCTGCAACAATTGTGAAACGAGCTTGCAAAACCTCGATTGCACGTTCAACATCTTTTTGACATGATTTTATATTTGAACCATTCAATTTTTGAGATGATTATATATTTTTTGTACAATTATAACTTATAATAAAATTAACTTACAATTTGACATAAAAATAATAAATGCACGAAAATTAATTTATCAAAATTATACGCCAAAGTTAAGATGTAAAATTAATATTATAAATATATTACATAAACATAATTAGGTATATATAAAGAGATAAATTAAATAAGTTAAATAATAAAAATAATAATAAAATAATGATGAATAGTAATGGAGGAGATGAATAGTGTCACTCCATATTTGGAGTAACACTATTCATCCCGCATTTTGGGGACGAAAATGGGGGAGCATTAGAGCCCCATTATGGCAAAAATTACCCCGAGAAATAAGGGAGGGTTGGAGATGCCCTAATGCCTTTTCTCTCGAAAAAAGCAGCAGGTCAATGCGCGCGCTGGTGCATAAAATAGTCTCTCTAGTCTCTGTTATAAAGTCAAAATATTTGCAAATAAAGACGGTATTGTTAAAGATGTATATGTAAGACTTCTCGATCATCATTGGAGAGAAATGCTTTTTGATATATGTATTTTTATGTCTCTTTGGCCTTGTGGAGAGCCCCTGTTTATAATTATAGAAGATTGAAAAGGGTGTTTGCTAGTGAAGACGGTATGGTTAAAGATGTATATACGGAAGACTTCTCGATCACCATCGGAGAGAAATGCGTATTTTTATGTCTCTTTTGGCCCAATGGAGAGCCCTTATTTATAAATGTAGAAGATTGAAAAAAAAGGAGTTTGTGATGAATACAAACCTTTTTTTTTTCAATTTGATTTGTCCACTTGATCATCAAAACCATCACCAAAATTATACTTTTTCTGTTTCAATTTATATGAACTTATTTTTTTTTTTTAGTCCGTGAATAATCTCTTTTTATATTTAAAAATAATTTACTTTTATACAATGATTTATAACCACACAAAATACCCGTACCTCATTTTAACCACAAGTTTAAAAATCTTTTTTATTTTCTTAAATTTCGTCCCAATCAAATGAGTTCAAATAAATTGAAACAAAAAGAGTGTGATAAGATTATATTTGATTGATTGAAATATGTCATTTGGATACTTGGCAGCCTTAAATTAACCTTTATATTGACTCTTTATGTTGACTTGACATGCCACATTAGTTGAGTATATGTCACTATTTCATTAGCATTGGATTTGATCAGAATGTCTGTCATTAAGTACGTGACATGAATAGGGGAGGCAAACGGGCGGGTCGGATATGGAATGAGTTAAAAACGGATAATGAAAAGTATTTGAAACTTATTTACCAAAATTGTTCTAGTTTTGTATATTACCATCCTAAACAAGGATTACTTACAAATTATATACAATCCATTATTAGTGCCTTAAATTAGGGGATTTAGGGGATATATAACAGAGTGAAAGGAAAGAGTTATACAGCGCAAGCAATGAAATTGAGGATATGAATATGGCGATGAGTTAGAGTCCATTTAACCGCCGAGGAAGAAGGATATCCAACATTGGAATTTAAATGACAGTTAACCAACGACTCAGATGTCGAATTATTTTCTGATTGGACGGAAAGAGACGCCAATTGTCATTGCGGCAATCAGATACTAAACCGTTGACTGGAATCCAAGTTCCGGGCGACTCCTTGGTCGGAATTTGTGTTAAGCACGGGCGACAACAACTGCAACTTGAGTGTACTCAACATTTGTTTTTCATAATTCAGTGTGTGTCTCTGAGCTGCAACTTGAGTGTACTCAAATTAATATTATACAATCTGATGATATAACAACATACAAATTTTAAAATAAATATTTTATAAATTTAATACAAATTAATATATCTACAACAACATACATACTAAAAATAAATTTCATACAATTAATTATATAGTATACATTTATTTATAACTTATCTACAACTTTCATATATTTGTTTTACTTGGTTAAAATACATATACAACATCATACAACTTATATACAATTTTCATACAAACTTTATACAATATGTCTTTTATATATTTTATATATTTTGTATTTGATTTGTATATATTTTGTATGTGGTGTGTGCTTCTTTCTCTCTAAAATTCCAATCAAAACTTTCTCTATTAATACAATTTTGATACATATCAATAACTTTATGTAAAAGAATTATATTGATAATTTAAATACAAATTTTATACAAATGATTCATACATTATACAACTACTACAACTTTACTACAAATTCGTAAGTATATTGTATATTATGTGTTCTTCTTCTTCAAGTTTTAATTTGAAATTCAGCCAAAATCAAGGCTAATCTTCACCAAACACCCTCAAAATTGACTTATAAACTCCAAACAATATTTTCAATTGTTTGCAACAACACCCAATCGAAACAAATAATGGTTTTTGAAAACCCAAATTTGAATTCAAAGTTTCAAAACTTTTTAATGGCTGTCAATAGTGAAGAGTCAAACACATTCAAAATTTATTGATTGACAATTTCAATTTGAACACCAATTATGCAACATGAAAGAAAATTGCTAAGTTAAAACTCTATAGTAAAACGATTGAAATCCATTAAAAATATATACAACATGAAAGGATAAAAAATAGAGGACATCAGAGGAAGAAAAATTGGAAAAAGAACAGAGAATGAGAGATTGAGAGAGAGAGAGAGAGAGAGAGAGAGAGAGAGAGAGAGAGAGAGAGAGCGGGAGGGAGAGAGAATAAGAATGAGAAATAATTGATTCGTTATTCAATTCCTAATATAAATGGATACTCATTTAATTCCTAAAGTGTATATAATTGGTAAATTGTATATGCCTATGTAATTAAATTGAAACTTGAGTAGGGAGGGTAATAAAGTTTCAAATAGTGTATAGGAAGGTAAAAATCCCATGAAAAAATGGATAAATTATTCGACCCGGCCCATATTTGATACGGATAAAAAACGGATTAACCGGCGGATAATATGAGTAATCATATTATCCATGACTTCATGAATATGATCACTTTTGAAAGAATTCCTATTCTCCTAAACTTGAGGAACCTATAATTTGAAACTTTACAAATGTAAAAGTTAAACCCATTAAATATCCATTGGTTATCCATTTTCTAAATGGATAATATGGTTCTTATCCATATTTGATCAATTTTTAAATAATTCATTATCCAACCCATTTTTTAGTGGATAATATGAGTGATTAATTACTTTTTTAAACTATTTTTGCCACCCCTAGACATGAGCTTGGGCCTGCAAATGAAATAGATTTTGGAGATTTAAAACTAATAAGAAGAACTTATTCAATTTGTGAAGTTCAAATTAATTATTCAACACATATTAACACAAATTTGAACTTAAATAATTAATGTATATTTGTGTCAACATTTTACGAATTTAAAAATCGAACCCAAATTTTGTAGGGACTAAATCCAGTAAAATTCAAGCTTATGCAGCGGAAGCAGATTTAGGAAAATATACCATATTAGAACTAACGGCCATCACAGTAAAACCAATTTCCAGACAAACTAGGAATACAAACAATAGCCCCATTTAGGAAATAAATAGCATAATGGAATTAACGGCTATTCCAAATCAAATTGGGAATACAACTGTCTGACAGCCCATTTAGGAAAATATACCATATTGGAAAAGGGAATTAACGGCCATTCTCGTAAAACCGACTCCAAACTAAATTAGGAATACGAACCTAAGTTCTATTTATACCTCGTTTACAGCTTGAAGAATGTGTTCCCGTTACATTACTTTCTGCTTCTTTTCAAGAACTCAAAGAACGTCCACAACTTTGTTCGTTTATTTCTCCATCAAAGAAACTATGAGTAGTCTGCAAACTCATCGCTCTTCCCAACTTCCCCATAATGACACACGCCATTCCTCACCCAATTATTATGGCAATCACCAACAGCAAAGAGGCTATCAGCGTAACGTTCAAAGGCGCCCTTATTATCCGTCTTTCGGAGTTGGTTCTTATCCAACAGTAATTGATGGTGTTTTTGCTCAACAATATTCGCATCAAACCTCTGCTTTTCAACCTCCTCGGCCATATTATTCAGTTGATATGGTCTTATTACCGTCAGTTGTAGTAGACAACTATGGTCAATACGGGCTAATTTGGAGGTATTGTCCTGTGCCAAATTATGAATTAATTGATGATAGCTATGTCACTAATGATCCGAGTGAGTTGATAGATATTAGAACTGGAATGCTTGATCATATGATCAACTTCACTAGTCATCTGATTGGTCAGGAGGCAAATTCAAGCTTTGATTTTGGCTTTTTGTATGACCATCTATTTGATCGTGTGGAGAAAGAGAACGATGACGCTGTATTGAAGTATTTGAAAATAACAACACATCATTCTCTTGCTAAGGATGGAGTCAATCCCACAATTATTGCTGATGTAGAACCAGAAACCTGTGCTATATGTCAATCTGAATATGAAGATGAAGAGAGTATAGGGAAACTGCAGTGTGGGCACGAGTATCATACGGATTGCATTAAACAATGGTTGTGGAGGAAGAAAGATTGTCCAATGTGTCGAGCTTCAGTTTTGCCTTCACAAGAACAGAGATTATAGAGTCATTTACTTGTCCCGACTGATGTGAATATTATTTTGATTTTGATTTTGGTCAATCGATTTGAGAATCCTTTTTGTCTTTTGTTAGGGCCAACCTGTATTTGTTGAATCTCATGTTATTACACTTAATATAACATAGACAAGTCAATTTAAATTGTGCTGTCAATTGCCTTCATGAACGCTTGGATGTTCCCCTTTTCATGAAAAAAAAGAATTGCTTTTCTTAAAATCATTGAAAATTCATTTATCGCTTTATTACCCGGGTCCACGTCTCGGACCCGACAAAAATTACAAAATATGAACGTTCATTCAACCACGAGTCCAAATTAATCCTATCTGATAAATACAATTATACAACTTAAGACACTTCTTCTTTCTTGTTGTTCTGAAACATTGAAAATAAGCAAGTGAGCAACTAATTACATAAATGAATATCATTGAGATTTAGCTTATGTAGATATTCTAGCATAATCTATATGGTAGGTACAATTCTATCGCATCACTGTAACAATTTCATTGATGGTTCTTCTAATGATTGTCTGAGAGCCACAAACAATTGCAAACATAAAGAATAGACCTGATAAATTTGCAGCTTTAATTCTCATGAACCCAACAGAGGAGAATGTAGAGAATAACAGAAAAAACTAAAGCAACAAGAAAAGAAAAAGAGATTCAAACAAGCCCGCAGAAAGATACTCAAATTTTGTTTTCCCTTATAAATGCAACTGAACAGATATCTTGAACACAATTTATATTCTAGCTACTACCATTACAAAAGTTCCTCTAAAAATTTGAAGAGACAGGTTCGTTCATCGATCACTTGTAAAAGGTGGATCAAGGTCTTGTTGCCAGGTTCTCTTAATATCCTGCATCCACACAGTAAATGAAAATTTTAAGTCAGTCATATATATGACATGTACAATGTTATCGCTAAAACATTTGAAACGAATACCAAACCTTTTCTTTAGGATTTAGCTCAATGAAGATCCGGGGCTAACATTAGAAGTTTCCAGTGTTGATGGCATCAGCATTTGCATCTCCAAGTGCTGCCTCTTTGAGGTATTTGTCAGCCAATTGAACTCTCTTCACATTCTCTTGCTCTTGGACAAGCAAGTTTCCGTACTCGAGCAGCTTGTCAATTGTCATCTTTGGTTGCTCAAAAGTTGGAGGTCCATCAATTGAGTTCAACAGTTTTTCCCCAACCTGTTCAATTCCAGTGCTTTCAATCCACTTCCTGACTTCGTCATCGTATACTCTTGCCCTCAAAGCACCAAAGAAATCTGTGATAAGAACAGAATTATACCCATAAGTTATCATCATTTGAAACTTCTTTTCTCAAAGAAAATTATTATAACACATTTGAGTGGTCTTACCAATAGATTGTCCAGGGAAGGCATCGACAAGCTTTACAACGTGCTCATCTGGTACGCTGTCAGTTCTGAAAATTCCCTTGCATACACCAATTCTGTCCTCTCTGGTTGGTGCCCAGTAGAACTTTTCCATACGACCATCACGGATAAGAGGAGCATACAATGTGGAGAAGTCGTTACCAGTGACTATAATAGGGACCCTGGCATTCTCTTGCTTGTTGTACATACCAGGAAGCTGGACATTAGTCGGGTTATCAGCAATGTTCATGAGGGTGGCATTCACCATCTGGTTATTAACTGTGTATTGGGTAGTTCCACCCATTCTACCAGCTCCTGCATCGAGATCGTTGATGAAGAGGACACACATGTTTCCTTTCCTGATTATTTCTGCTGCCTCGCGATACCTTTGCCTAATCAGTTTTGCTGGCTCTCCTGCATTTCCACTTTCCAATTCTCCAGCACTCATCATGATGGGGCTGCGAATATTAAAGACGCGAACATAGTTGAGTAACTTTGATCCATTTCCTTCTGACAAAATAAATTAAACTTTTAAACAATCATTACTCACTTGATTCCCATCTTTCTGAAGACAAGCTCACACTGGAAAGACTTTCCTTGACCTTTGCCTCCCCATATACCCAAAATCAGTGGTACCTGTAAGAAAATTTGACAAGATTAATACTTAAAACCATTCAACTTATGCCATAAGCGAGAGAATTTCTAGATAAAATTGTTACTATTACTGACCTTGATGTTGGGCAATTTCAAGAAGTTCTTGGTGATGTGAACAACAAGCTTGTCCATGAAAGCAGGAGCGATGTAGAATCCGTCCAACGTGTTGTCCAAGTTGTATCTGGAATAAATCAGGTCACCATTTGTCATTTAGATTCATATTTTTCGGATTGATTATATATCTTAACTTTCAATAATCTCAACTTACTGGCGAAGACCCTGGCTGATGTATTCGTAGGATTGCAAGACAGCGTGGTGAGTACCAGTACCCGTAGGAGCTTGGAAAAGAGTGTCAACCATACCCTTACCCCTCGTGATATCCTGTTGATCATCAGACATGTCCATAACAAGTCCCTTCCATCTGTCCTTGTCACTCTGTTTCTTCTCATCTATTTCTTGTTCTTGAGCTACAATCGACCTGAAGTTCCTGTTCGAGGCCTTGGGGATGGAAATGCCTTTGGCGTTCACATTCTTCAACACCTTGCCAAAGAAGGTGGTGCTTGGAACTGAAATTCCAGCAACAGAGTTGTTCAAACTCAACTGCACAAAGGATGTTTTCTTAGTAAAAGACACTTAAACACAGTAAAATTTCTCGAACCAAGTACACAATCTACTTCTACTAGTACACAATTTGCTTCAATAAAAATCACAGGCCCTGTACAAATATAATTTCCTATGGCATTCTAATTTGCAATTCATATTAAATTCTTGAACAAGGTACATAATCTAGAGCATCTAGTACAGGGGCGGCAGATCTAGCAAGGCCCGAGGGGTGGTATGCCACCCGCAAGGTTCTGTCGAAACTCTATGTATATATAAGTAAGAAATCGTATATATATTTAAAGCGGCAGCCATAGTAACAAAAAATGATACAAAGGTGGCAGTGGCAAAGGGTAGGAGATTCCACCTTGGTTGTGAAGGATTGATCTTCACTGGCAGCAGTTTTTGAACCTTTTGGCTTACTATATCACGTTAAGCTTTCTATCATTTTATATAGTCCATTCTCTTTTTTCTTCTTATGTAATAATTGTTAACTATCTTACTTTATTTGTTAACTTTTGACTATCTTTTTGTGTCTCTTATTAGTTAAGTTATTTGCTTTTTTCACACAAAGTTAAAATAATATTTTTTTTTTCAAATCTCCGCTCTATCATAACTAAAGGGCAGCCCGGTGCACTAAGCTCCCGATAAAATATTTACCAAATCTTAATGTATATAGCGACACATAGAAATTCAAAACTACGTGGCACCTGAAAGCTCCAAATCCTGGATCTGCCTCTGATCTAGTACCCAAATTCTTGAAACAAACTGCACAATCTGGAGCAACTAGTACCCGAATCTAGTTCAGTAGTAAACACATACGGCAAAGGGCCAAATATACCTCTCTACTTTCGAAAATGGTCTAAGAATACCCCTCGTTATACTATTAGGTTATTTATACCCCTGCAGTCATATTTTGGGTTCAAATATACCCCTCATTTAAACGGAGGGACACGTGTCATCGTCCTGTTGGTCAATTCTAAATATCTTCTAATTAATTAAAAAGACTTATTAATCATACACGAAAAATAATTTTTTAAAGAAATCTTTTTTTGTAAAAACTGAAAAAAAACTAAAAATTATTTTTACTAAAAGCTGAAAAAAAAAGAAAATATTTTTGTTTTTGTTTTTACAAAAAAACTGCTTTAGAAAAAAATGAAAAATATTTTCTAAAACAATATTTTTGAAAAATACTGGAAAAAAAAGCTGAAAATCAATTTTCTAAAGCAATTCCTTTTGTAAAAACTGAATTTTTTTATACTAAAAACTGAAAAAAACGAAAAAATATTTTTTTTCTAGTTTTTACAAAAAACACTGCTTTAAAAAAAGCTGGAAAATATTTTCTAAAATAATATTTTTGTAAAACTGAAAAAAAAAAAACAAACTAAAAAGCAAATTTCTAAAGCAGTATTTTTGTAAAAATTGAAAAAACAAATATATATTTTTTCCCAGTTTTTAGTTAAAAATATTTCAGTTTTTTTCAGTTTTTAATTGCTTTAGAAAATTGATTTTCAGTTCTTACAAAAATATTGTTTTAAAAAATATTTTTTCTGTTTTTTTAAAGCACTTTTTTGTAAAAACTGGAAAAAAAAATATTTTAGTTTTTTTCAGTTTTTAGTAAAAATGTATTTTTAGTTTTTTTCAGTTTTTACAAAAAAAAATAATTATTTTTCGGGTATGGATAATGAATCTTTTTAATTAATTAGGAAATATTTAGAATTGACCAACAGGACGATGACACATGTCCCACCGTTTATATGAGGGGTATATTTGAACCCAAAGTATGACTGAAGGGGTATAGATAACCCAATAGTATAACGAAGGGTATTCTTAGACCATTTTCGAAAATAGATGAGTATATTTGGCCCTTTGCCGAAACACATTTTAAGTATATCAATTCTCACATAGCATCCTTTGTATCAATTTTATATGCGATCATCTCCAAAATAAATCAAATTTCTTGCCACCTTTTTCGAATAACTCAACATTCCCATCAAAGAAATGACAAATACTATCCAAAGTTCTAATCTTTAACTAAGAACACGTTAACAGTATACTATTATTATTATCACCCGTTATTCTCTTTTGTAGATGCCATTTGACAGCATGTGACCACTTATTAATGTACATAAGTTACAAGCCAATTAATAGTTCAACTTGAAGCTGCTTTTGTTTCTAGTAAAATTGACCGGATGAGAATGTGATATAGACAATTAACCCGAAAAAGGAATGCTAGAATCTTGGTAAACAGAGCAGAATCATAGAAACCTAGACTAAAACGAACTAAAAGACAGTTTAGATTCTATTATTTAACTATAAAAAGCAAGTTGACATGTCTTGAATTGTGAAGAGAAGAACACAATACCGGTACTTTGTTGGCAGCTGCTACAGTTGAGACAGAGGCAGCCATTATTTTAACTACGCTGAAAATCAAACAACAGATCACTAGCTCTTAATATTTGCTGAGACAAATAGTTGATTGTTGAATAGAAGAATATGGGAAGGGAGAGAATTTATAGCACGAGTTATTTGGAGTATATGAGAAAGTACAAGCAAGAAAGTTATGTGCATTTTGGATTACGAATTCCTAATAGCCACACGATGGAGGATTGGCTATATTACGTGGATATTTTAGATGAGGACTTTATTATGTGACATGGACATTGCTTTTTTCTCTTTTTTATTCTTGAATGTACTGGAGACTAGATTAACAACAAAATGGAGTCTTCTCGGAACTAGTTGGCTTTGAGGTCAATATTCAAGCTACTTTTTCCTCCATAAATGTTCTCTCGTTATTATTGTTATTTTCACAGATTTCTTCTTGTAGAATAAGAAAAATTGAGGCAATTATTATACCCCTATTTTCACAGATTTCTTCTTGTAGAATAAGAAAAATTGAGGCAATTATTATACCCCCCCTCCTTCTCTATCACAATCTTGAAGGAAAAAAGAAAAGAAGAAAAAAAGGACAACAAAAAAAGAACTTATATCGCATGGCTACTTGTGCAAAAAATAGAACTTACTACAACTACAACTTGAGATTTGGAAGTAATACACTACTCTAGAAATGAAAAGACTACAAGTTTACTCCACATTTAAGGGGTCGTTTGGTACGCGGACTAAATTATCTTGGAATTATAGTTATGAGATTATAATCTCTAAACTAATTTATCCTACTTGACAGGTATGATAAAATAATACCAAGTTTAATGGGATAAGATGGTATATTCAAGATTAAATCTGAGACTAAATTTATACTGTGTTTGATTAACGGTATAAATTTATCCAAACATAGTATAAATTTAGTACCACGCTTTATCCCACTTTATCTAGTGTACCAAACGAAGAGTGCAATGGTCTCTCACCTTCTCCCTGACAATTTTTTGAATAAAACATATGTTTCGAAGAAATTTTATAGGCTTAAAGCCCTTTATATATTTTAACCATGATTGACCGGCAAGTCGTAAAAAGAAAGGCAATGTTGCCTTGAAGTGTAGTAATTCGTTGAAAAATTACATTATGTTATGTAAATGTAATTTTTATATATATATAATACGTTGAATCATCTTGTCTTTTGTATGTGTTTACTGTTAAAGTATATGACTATCTTATCTAAAAGGTTAAACTGTTACAGATCATACTTTATTTATTTAATTATATTTTTAACACGCTCCCTCACGTGCGGACTTGATTCTATTTTTTGAGCCAAGCACGTGAAAATTATTTTTGATATTGGATGGCAGTGATACTCGAACCCAGAACTTCTTCCTGTTCCGATACTATATTGAAGTGTACATGTGATTATTTCATCTAAAAACTTAAACTGTTAGAGAGAATACACTTCTATTTACTTAATTATGTCTTTAATTTTTATATTTTGACTTCCCTTAATGAAAATTCTAATCCATCATTAAAAAAAGGTGTTGTTCACCAATCATTTGTCTAAATAAAAACCAACGGTATTTGTAAGGATAAAATATGATTGTTTGACCACTTTGCTTGTATTCAGTTTATTTATATATCCTATTTCCTTTGTGAAAGGTGACCATGCATGCTGCAATTAACACTTTTTTTGGGTTTACAATATTGGTCATATAGCAATTCATAGTTCACACAAAATTATCCCAAATTCTAGAATTAAGCTCCTATTTACTCTGAATACGCGAATAGCAAAAGTTAACCATGGCATCCACTTGGCTGCTTTCTGACCAATTGTATATCCACCACCTTGGGAAAGTTCTCTTCTTGTGTTTTTCTTGCTCAGACTCACTCTCAAAGCTAATAGGCATAATAGTGTCTCGGGGCTGACCCACTGGTCTGTATAATGCATTCAAAAACAGTAAACTCTGGCTACAATTGGACTACTAAATGCTTCTTTTCTCCTCCAACTTCTTCTAGTTATTGAGAACAAATAATTTTTCAATATTTTTCTTATTTTTATTGCCAAGGGTGGGTTGCTCTAGTGTTGAGCACCTTCCACTTTCAACCAAGAGGTTGTGAGTTCGAGTCACCCCAAGAGCAAAGTGGGGAGTTCTTGGAGGGAGGGAGCCGATGGTCTATCAGAAACAGTCTCTCTACCCTAGGGTAGGGGTAAGGTCTACGTACAAACTACCCTATCCATACCCCATACTGAGTTGTTGTTGTTCTTGTTGTCTTATTTTCATTAGTACTGTGGGGTCGTTTGGTTGAGAAACAAATTATTCCATAATTAATTATTTCGAAATTAGTTATCTCACCCTCCATTAAGAAAAAAAAAAATACTATAATCCTGGGATAACAAATCCCGGAATTAGCCAGTTATACCACAATTTTATCCCAACAAAATATGGGATAAACTCATCTAAAATTTAATTCCGAAATTAAAGTATCTCTTATCCCTCATACCAAACGAGCCCTGTATGAACAAGTCTACATTTGTTTTTTGTAGGATGGGCTTAATCTAACCCAAAAAAGCTAGGAACCCGAAAATTAAGAATAAAATGTACATAAGGTTTTTTATACAAATGGCCGGACCGATTTCATTATTAACATCTTTTAGCTGGTATACGTAGATTATACACTGCTATAGTACATATTATATACAGTATATGTTATACATAGGGTTGTCAAATGAGCAGGTTGGACTGATTATGGACAGATCAAAATGGGATGAGTTGATAAATTAGGGGCGGGTCAAACTTGGACTGAGATGGGTTAGGTCAAGTTCTGCTAAAATTTAGGTTATAGTCTAACCCACCTAACTCTTAGTTACCAAATTTTAATTAATGTGTATTATTTAATTATCAAATAAAACTTTTTATTTTATTATGGTCATATATATATATNAACAGTATATAGATGCAAAACATTATATTTAAATGTAATTGCTGACTGTAAGTAGTTGGCAAAAAGATGAAGAAACAAAAGATCAAAGAATCTTGAATGAATCCTCACTACTCCCGTTTCACATTTTTCAGCAAATTGAAATTGCAAAACTTAAGTACCACGTATTTCGTTCTCGATTTTCGAGCTTATGAATTTTCAAACTAATGAGTTTTCTTATGAACAACGACTAGGTGCCTAAAGTCAAACGATTGGGTGCATATGTAAATGTGAAGGTGACTTCGGGTGTTAGTGAAAGGTATTTACCCGAAAAATCGAAAAACGTTGAATTTAGGTGTGGTTCTAAGGATACGTAAATTCTTTATGATACAAAAATAATAATACAAGTATTTTGCTATAACATGGGAATAATCAATAGGAAGGCTCAATGAGCAACATGAACTCTTAATGCATCTTAGGGAAGATGAGTCTATTGCAATCTATGCCCCCTTTTTATAATAGAGGGTCACTACTTTATCTATAACAACATAATAAAATAATGCATATAGTGGAGACCCATGATGGTTTGTCTCTTCCTTGATTCCTGCCGAGATTCTCTCCCTCGGTGCGGTTATGATGGCTTTTGTGGGCGAGCTCGGCACTGGCTCGAGCTTGGTGTTAAGTCGAACCCCCGGTCTTGGTTCGAGCCCGTTCTGCCTTGGGCATCGATATTCGGGGCCTGTGTCAGTTGGAGTTGCCTCGTAGTTCGATTCAGATACGGGCTCGATAATGATACCGAGTTTTGCCGTCGATCGGTCTTATAGCTCGAAACTTGACACCCTTACTCCGGAATTCGTCCGAGCTTGATATGTGGATACCTTTTGATCGAGACGTCATTGTCTTGGTCAGTCTTTAGGACCGAGAATCGGTTTTGATCGTACACAGATAGTCCCATCGTTTCTCGGAAAGGATGTGGCGAGAAACGATATGATTTCTCTACGGCTCGATCAAATTTATGTCGTCGTTCCTAACGACCCCGATCATGACGTATGCGATAACTGTCCCATCGGTTCTGTCTTACCGAGGCTTTTAATGTGTGTCAGACGGTGGCCGGCCACCGCTAATACCGAATCGTCATGCCTTAGCCTATAAATAGTCTTTCCAAACAACTTTTACCACTTCTCTTCTTCCAAATTCTCTTATTTATCCTCTCTATTTCACTGCTTCAGGGCCGCTTATACCAGAGTTTTGGTGTTGTCCCTTCTTTCACCTTCCTTCGCATTCTTTCCTCTCATATCAATGGCGAAAACTTCCAAAATCGTACCTCAGAAGGAGAAAGCTTCTTCCTCACGACCGTTTGATGATAAGGAGCCGGCGGAGCCGTCCGTTTATGACTATGTTCCTGGCCCGTGTATTTTGAAGACCGATTTTAGGGTGGAGAATCCTTCGTCCGTTCCGGGTCGACGTGAGCATGTATCGATGTATATGTGCTCTATAACGGAGGATCATCTCGAGACCGTCAGAAAAGATTGCAACTGGGGTTCCGAGGTTGTGTTGCAAATTCCATCCTCCGTCACTACTTATGTGGAGGGGTTTTTAAGTGTTTATACTTATTCCTTCACGTTGGGAACCGTCGACCCGGTGATTATCGATTTCTGCAAAAGATATCAGGTCACTCTTGGCCAAATTCATCCCTCTTTATGGCGTATAGTGATCTTGTTGCGCTTCTTCTCTATCAAAGCCGGGGGGGTGGATTTTTCTCTGAACCACCTCATACGACTGTACCGACCTCAGATTTTCCGAGGACTAATTAGACTTCATCGTCGAGCATCGAAGGCTTTGATGTCGAGCATCGATGAAGACAAGGATCGAGGTTGGATGGGTCGATATATTTGAGTGAGGACCCATGATATTATTCCGGAGGAGAAGATGCCGTTCCCTGAAGAATAGAATTTTGATCGTAAGTGATTCTTGTTTACTTTTCATGTCTTTTTTCAAATTTTTTCTGATGTCCTTTCCTGATGTTCAGCTGCCCCTTAGATGACACAAGCCATGCCTGACCTCGAGGACTGGGTTCGGAAGTTAGCCTCGAGCTCCTCTTATGCCGAACGCGCTTGGCGTGATTTGGCAAAAGGCAGATGGGAGGCCAATAATCATGGTGAGGTTTGCTTCCTGTTTTCTTCGAAGTGTTCTGTGCGTTCTT